CCAGAGAGGCTGGACCATTGCAAAATCAGAGCATCACGGAACTCGTCGTGTTTCTCCCAGTGCAGTTCGTACCTGAACATTTTCCTCGACGGGCCCCTGTCATCATTTGGTTCAAGCTGTAGGCGGATTGGGCAGTGATCCGAAGAGGCGCTCGTTTCATGCACTAGAGTCGCCGAGGGGAAGAGTAGCTGCCAGTCATTGTTAGCAAGGGCACGGTCCAGCCGTACACGGCAGAAGCCACCCCCTGCCGTCTTCTTCTCAAAAGTCCAAGGTTTGCCGACGTAGCCAAGATCAATAAGTCCGGCGACATCTGTTGCGTCTTGGAATCCCGCCATTTGTGCGCTTCTCCTCTGGCTAGCGCCCACGTGCTCGCTAGGATGAAGGACTTCATTATAATCCCCGATACAAAGCCATGGAAGGGTTCTGGCCGTAACGAGGGACTTAAGGAGATCCCAAGTCCTATACCGCTCGCTAACATTAGCTTCACCGTATATACATGTAAGGCGCCAGTCTTCTCTATTTGGAATCGACACAGTGGCGTCTATATGGTACTGAGAATAACCAAAAACACTGATATTTATTCCATCATTCCAGAAAACTCCTAGGCCGCCGCTGCGACCCGAACTACCAACTGCATAACAGTGATCGTAACCTAAAGTGCTCGCCATACTCTCGACACGTACTTTGGATATTTGTGTTTCAACAATACATAGTACGGCCGGGGCAAATTGCCTCGCTATATCGCGAAGCTCGCGAACTGTCGCGGGTTTGCCCGCCCCGCGACAGTTCCAGCAGATAATATTCATTGAGCGCGGCGGCGCTCCTCCAAGGAGCCCACCTGTTCGCTCATTTTGTTCGTCGATTTGTTGGGTGACGACCCCTTCTTTGGCTTCTTCCTATCACGTGGGTTCTGGTATCCTGGGGGAGGGGGTGGAACCAGTATTATCTCCTTCGGCTGAACATGTACAGCAGGATTCTGGGCGTGACGTTCTGCAGTATTCTCGACTGAAACCCCAAGAGCATCATCAGAAAGGTCAAGCTTCTTCTTAGCAGTAGGTTCGGTCTGATCGGCATCCTTCTCCACGACGTCTGTCTTGAGTGGGCTTTCCGCTGTGTCATTCAGGTCCACGTCCTCTTGCAAGCCCGCTTCCTGTGATGATCGCTTCTTGGCTCCATCGCCGTTACCCCGGCCTCCATCAGCGTTGCCGCGTCCACCGCGGCCTCTGCCTCGGCGTCCAGGTGCACCCCTGTTGTCACTAGTATAGCTGAAGTTGCCTCGGCCAGTCTGATTAAACTGGGTCGAGGGGAGACTCCTTCTCTTGGCTAACATCCATTCACCATATTCAATCTCATCAGGATTGTGGATACCATTACCACACTCTTCAAGGATGTGGCGCATAACACCGCAGACTTCACAAAAGAAAGCAATCTTTTCATATTTCACCGGTAACAATAGCCTCTCTTCACCCTTGATATTCAGTGGTGTAAACCTAACCAATGGTTGTGCTACATTGATCTTTGCTCGTACCCTGACATAGTTCCCCTCAAAAACTCTGGTAGGGTTCATCTCCACACTCTTTACTTGACCGATTCTCCGTGCTAATTGATCCATGATCGGTTCTTTGCGATACAGTTCTGGTGTGTCATGAATCTGCGCCCAGACATACACGCGATCAAGAACGACCGCCTCAGGCTTCCCCTTACCATCGTACTCTTCTATGATCACCATGAGTCCCCTGAAGATCCATGGCCCTTGATGCATCACCCTATTCCAGTCTCCCACGCAGAACAATTGGATTACAAACAAATTGTCACCTGCCTCGCGGATCTCTGGGTCATAGGCGAGACGCCATATGTATTTCATTGTGTTCTTGAAAGCATCCACGCTGAAGGGCTTCTTGGTGTTTACCTTGGCGACCGCTAACCAGCGCGCCTCCTTGGCACTAGCTACTAGCTAGAGACAGGAGGTAGTGGTTGAGATGGGATCTATCCGGGTGGGCCTGGCAAGCAGTGAACTTTACACCTGCAGTCTGATTCAGAGAAGGAGCCAGGCCCAGCTGCCAGTAGCGGAGGCACTCACAGACTCACTGTTGCAACAGCGGGGTCGTTAGGTATAGGTCAGGAACTTGACACTTGGTTAGTTTCCCCTAATGCTACCTTGCGTTGCACGACAGCGAGTGCGGAGTGCCCTAAACCCAGACGCATCTGAGTCAGATGGCAACTTTTTGGCATCGCCTCGCCGTGTTTGGTTTGCCTTGCGCGATGTCATCGTCGATCCCGCGTGGTGTCTGTTTGAAGACACCCTATTTGCCATTTTATTCCTCTTGTCCTGAAATGGACATATTCGTGGATGGATCTCACGGTTTTCCCCTAGAATAACATGGTATCCTCCGATGGAACCATCAGCTGTAAAATCGTGCGATTCTTTTTTCGTTGGCGGGTGAAAAGGGATTTTTACAAAGGTCAGCGACATCACCTGGCCATGATCCCAGCCACACCACCGCGCGGCCCTCAGTTCTACCGAAGGTAGCTAGATACTCCGATGGCCTCTGTTTAACTAGTAGTACCAGATGGTTATCGGTGCCGGAAGGTTGGACTGACTAACAGATGGGGATTTATTCAGAAAAATGTAGCCTCTGTTTTCCTCCGATGGCCTGTAAAATTACAGTGGTACCATTTTGCAGCGGATATGTAATAATGTAGGCATGTGCGCCTTGGGAGTTGGAAGTTTTTGGGCTTCCATTATGTAAAGCGAGCGCCGGGACGACCCGTCAAAAAAAAAAGAAAAACAGCGCCGCGACGCGTCGATGAAATTTAGTGCGGCATTGGCCTGGGTAGTACTGTGGGAGTACTGTACTGTCCCTGTGTACGTACAGGTACAGCTGAGCTGCTTGGGATGGGATGGATATTATTCCCGATCTGTACCTACCCAAATCGGGAAACCTATTTCAGCCCTTTATGTCACTGGATGGATCGGACTCACATCGACTAGAGGTGGCGGAAGTGGATTGCATACATTCAATCGGTAGGATCCTCTTTTTTTTTCTTGACATGTGTTGGGTAGGATCTTAACTGCACCTATCTCTTCCGGCTGTTTAAATTGGATCTTGGAACGCAGACGCACATACTGCTCAGTCGTCAAGCCTGATAGGATCGATCTTCAACCCCAAAAAATAGAGACAGGTGGTGCATACTGCTCAGTCGTCGAGTTGGGTAGGATCTTCAAACTAAAAAGACGGTACGTACCAGACAAAGCAAAATGCAGCGCGTAATGTTGGTGTTAAGCCGAGCGTCGGTGGACCCTGTACTGGCTAACACCGAGTTACTTGCATGAGGGTGGGGTAGTAGGGCAAGCGCGTTTGTAGTGCACGTAGGCAAAAGTCGCTGTCGATTCGGTAAGCGTTTGGCATGAGCATGATGATCGTCATCATCATGTACTGCTACGTGCTAGCTACGTCGCCTCCCGTGGTGAACGTACGGTCCAGATGGATATTGCCCTCCTGGTATCGATGCAAACAACTATAGGACAGTCCATAGCATTTCCTCTTAGAACGCAGGGTGGGTGGGCACACGAACCGTGGATTCGTAGCGACCGTTTGTGATGCCAACCGCCAAGTCCGTCCAGCACAAACGTGACAGCCTAGCTATATGAACGGGCAGTGATAAAGGGTGCCAGCCATTGTGCAACATTCGCCGGCTTGGATTTTCGTCAAGGCCGTGTTTCTCCTTGAGCTCTTTTATTGGCAAGGAGCAGTACATCATGCTACTGCGGCACACCAAGCTCCAAGCTCTTATTCTTATTATCATCACAAACCAAGCTACTCCAATGTCCTCGAGAAATAAACCAGGGCACTCCATATGGGCAAGTATAAGGATTTATCCTACTTTACATCGCTCACTAGTCACCACAAAGGCTACGGTTTCCAGTTCCACAACATTGATAAACCTCAAAAAAGGCGCATACGCGGAGAGGCTGCGCATCTTATGCGCCACCATCCACAGATGCACACTGGGACGCCACTTGGGCAGAGCCTACTACAAAACTGACTGACGATACACAAGACCTTGCAACCCCATCACATCATGTTTTAGTCTAGGCCGAGAACACGATGAACCCATCGGCGCGATGATGGCTGACAAAGATTGTTGGCTAATTCAGTTGCACGGTCCAGCCCATGGGGTCCTCCACCTGGCCCATCTGGACGCTTGTCAGCGAGGTGTACAGTTGCCGAGACACCGCGCCGACTCCTTGGTTGCCAGCATACTCTATCCTGCAAAGCACAAGCGAAGGAGTGGGCATGAGATCTCGTGTGCTACTGTGGTGGAACTCATGGAGGAATGAACATCCGAGTTCGTTCAAGAGACAAGTTGGATTTTGATCCAAGGACAGACACGTTTCAGCAAACAGCTCAGCTCTCGAGGAACAAACAGAGGTAGTTTTACCTTTTCCCTTGATATGTAATGCTACCTACGGGAGACACTACGACGGCGGTCCCCGTGCAGAACACTTCGTCGGCATCGAGCAACTCATCCACCGACACAAGCCGCTCCTCAACCTTCCAAGAAACAAATGCATGCAAAAGTGTTAAACAGAATTTGACAACAAGCTTTCAGATATTTTCAGTAGCAGTTTCAGAACAGTATTTTGCCTCTTCTACTTGGATCCACGTCGCTAGGAGAAATGAGCTATATTTTCACGAATGTATTATTCGTACAAGAAAAATGTCCGCTGTTAATTCATAACGGAAAGTGAAGGATTGAGGAATACGATTAAAAAAACATGGATGTACCTAATGAGAGTGGATTTTTGGCTCCTAAACCCCAGTGATAATTTCTTTCGAAAAAATTACAAAGTGCATTTACAAGCTAAGAATAGTATTTCCACATATACATGTTAAAACCCACCGTGGATCTACAAATCTTAATGAAAAATGCACTGGACAAAAAGATAAATATGGTGATCTATAATAGCAAATAGCAGTGCTACCGTTTGCTTCTTCGTGCATCGCACAAATGGAAGCTCTTTCATGATTTTTTTTAGATTCATAGACTCATGGTGAATCCTCCTCCAATATACAGCTGGTTTTTTGTGAATAATTTTAAACTTGCAAAGGCACTTCAAAAAAATATAAACAAAGGGATCCTGGAGATTGGGATACAAAAGCAATTACCAGTTTACCACTACCTAGCACACTTAAATATGCTCACTCTTCATTGCACAATGCTATAGTTAACTGCCAACCACCGGAAACTATCTAGACAAACTGATCGGCAACATAACAATCTCGACTTTCGATTCATGGGTTTGACAAATAATACCTGGAAGCCTTTACTCAGAGCAACATCAATTATACTTTTCCTTGTGATGCCCGGCAATATTGTTCCTTTTATTGCTGGAGTTGAAATAACATTGCCCTGGTCCAAATAGCAAGAAAAGAAATAAGATTAAAGTTACAAACGACATGCATAAAATAGACAAGAATTGTGCTAAAATAACTGTTTGTTATCAGTCTCATCATTCTGATGATGGCATTGTTCTGCAACATTTATAAGAAACCAAGGTGATAGGTAGACAACCATGCCGAACCAAACAGGTGTAGATCAGCCAGATGGTGCTATATCTTAAGGAACAGTCATGATGCTGCTATATTACTAGGATGTCCAAACCGTTATCTATGAAATAATGCTCATCTGTTGACGGATTCCACAAGGTAATCTGTTAGGTATGAAATTTATTCCTTTATCAGCTAATATTCCGTAAGTGGAGGGGCCATGCTAATGGGTGTTGCTAACAACCACGTGCTCATAAAAACCATAATGTTTTGGTTTCCATAGTTGATATGGCAGACACATGTGCTTAAAGCCAAAAGTATTTTGAAATCAAGATATCTACTCCAGTTTAACAATTCCGCAAATAATTTAGTTTTCACCTTTTTTTTCCTTTTACGTACGAAAGACAAATATGCCCTTTAATCAAAATACGTTAAGTTCGAGTAAAGATGGTACTAGGATATCCAGACATCTAACCACAGTAGTAACTTTCAGAATTAAGCAGTGTTACCTGAACTGATTGAAGATTATTTTTATCCAAAATAGCAAGCATATCTGACAGTGACAGCGATGTCTTACCTTCACAACAAAAATATTACACGAAGATACTTCTTCAAGATACTTTTTCTCAACAGCATCCAAGTAGAGAACATCAGAATAACCTTTCTCCTTTGCAATCTTCTGTGCCATCAAGACCTATGCAACATAAAGGACACATACTGATAATGAAGAAGCCATGAATACACAAGTTCAACACAATTAGCAGAACCTTTTAGCAGAGAAGATAGCAGAAGATGTTTATGATTACAGATTTCAGCTAGTGAATAGACTGGCCATTCCAGCCTTATAACCCATCGCATCTATATTCTATAGGCTTTGACCACAATATAAACAACCGGAAGATAGTGGACTTGAGGATAGATGAGCATTCACAATCATAACAAATAGGCTTTACCATTATAACACATAGGCTTTCCAATTCCAATATGTATTCAATCCATCAACATTTTTTGTAGAATCAGGGGAGAGAGGGGTGGCGGCTGGGATAGAAAGATGGCCTGGTATTGTATTCTATTGGAGTTAGGGTTTCCTGTACAAGGGGGCAGCACATATATAGGCTGCAGGGTTACATGGGCCACATGGGCCACATGGGCCACATGGGCCATAAGCGCGCGCACACACACACACACTGAAATACAGATAAAACACAGCCCAACACTCCCCCTCAAGAGGGATGATAGATATCTATCATGCCCATCTTGTCACAAGCAAGATTGTTCTCCCTGGTTCCCAAACCTTTTGTCAAACAATCGGTGACTTGTTGTCCAGAGCTCACATGAGTTATCTTGATGATTCCTGCATCCAGTTTCTCTTTGATAAAGAATCTGTCTATCTCCACATGTTTTGTTCTGTCATGTTGCACTGGATTATTAGCAATGCTGATTGCAGATTTGTTGTCACACCACACATTCAGAGGATCTTGTCTGAGCACTTTCAGCTCAAGCAGAAGGCCTCTTTACCCATAACATCTCACTCAGCCCTTGAGACATTGCCCTATACTCAGCTTCTGCAGTTGATTTTGACACCACCGGTTGTTTTTTGCTTCTCCATGATACCAAATTTCCACCAACAAACACACAATAGCCAGAGGTTGATCGTCTATCATCAAGACAGCTAGCCCAATCAGCATCGCTATAACCGTCAACATTCAAATGGCCATTACTCTTGAACCAGAGTCCCATACCAGGGCTGCCCTTTAGATACCTCATGATTCTATAGACTGCATCAAGGTGTCCACTTCTGGGGTCATGCATATATCTACTTACTACACTTACTGCATATGTAATATCTGGTCTAGTGTGACACAAGTACAGAAGTTTGCCAACCAATTGTTGATATTTTGCTTTGTTAACTTGTTCACCCATCTGTGCTGTCAATTTGTGATTTTGTTCAATGGGAGTTGGGGCTGCTCTACATCCAAGCATTCCCATATCACTTAGGAGCTCTAAGGTATACTTCCGCTGAGACAGGGCTATTCCCCTCTTTGATCTTGCAACTTCGATACCCAGGAAATATTTTAGCTGACCAAGATCCTTAACTTCAAATGCTTTGCCTAGGCATTTCTTTAGTCTTCCAATCTCCTCTTCATTGTCTCCCATTATTATGATGTCATCCACATATACTGCAAGAATAGTAATCTGTTGCTTGGAATGTTTATAGAAAACAGTGTGATCTCCATTGCATTGTTTATACTCCATACTGCAAACTGCTTGCCTGAACCGGTCAAACCAAGCCCTTGGCGATTGCTTCAAACCATAAAGAGATTTTCTCAATCTACAAACCTTCCCAACAGTCCCAGGTGTAGAAAGTCCAGGAGGAATTTCCATGTAGACTTCCTCTTGTAGATCTCCATGTAAAAAGGCATTTTTTACATCAAGTTGGTGTAGTGGCCATCCAAAGTTAGCTGCACATGAGATTAGAATCCTCACTGTATTCATCTTTGCAACTGGGGCGAATGTTTCGTCATAATCAATACCATACGTTTGGCTGTACCCTCTGGCTACCAGTCTTGCCTTGTAACGCTCAACCTTACCCTCAGGATTCTGCTTCACTGTGAAGATCCACTTACAACTGACTGCCTTCTTCCCATATGGAAGATTTGCTAGCTCCCATGTTTTGTTCTTTCTCAGGGCCTCCAACTCTTCCCTCATGGCTTCACACCACTTTGGATCTTGTCTTGCTTCTTTCCAGTCTTTAGGAACAATCACGGCTTGAAGTGATGCGACAAATGCTCTAAATGAAGGTGATAGGGCTTCATAGGTGACATAATTACTGACGTCATGCTCAAGATTGCCCTTGCTCAAAGTTTTCCTTGCTACTTCCTTCTTGAGAGCAATTGGCAGGTTAGGTGATGCTTCTTCAGTACTTGAATTTTCATATGACTCCACTTCAGATGAGCTTCCTGTCGCTTGAGTTTCTTCTGACTGCTCCCCCTGTTCCATAGTTTCTTTTGACTGCTCCTCATGCACTTGTTCCTCCACACCTCTCTTCCTTCTTGTATACACCTGAGGATTCCTTTCCTCATTTGGTCTCTACCACCTCTGCTGTTCAGCCCCATCAACTACAACTGGAATGAAGGATCCCACTATTTTCGGGGTTGGTATTGGCTGCTCCTTGTCGCCATTGGTGCTGCACTCACCACTCAAGTTGCACTCCCCCTCTTGACCACCCTGCATAGATTGTGAGTGGTCAAGTTCTTCGAATAAAGTGCTGAGATCTGTCTTCTCACCATAGAAAGGCTCAGATTCTCGAAAGGTGACATCCATACTTACAAATGTGCGCCTTTCAGCAGGACTGCAACACTTATAGCCTCGCTGCCCTGCAGGATATCCAACAAATATGCATTTTACAGCTCGTGAATCCAGCTTTCCCACTGCTGGTCTGTGATCTCTAACGAAGCAGGTGCACCCAAATAACTTCGGAGGAACTGAGAATTTGTTCTCCCCAAATAGCATCTCACATGGGGACTTCATACCAAGCATTTTTGAAGGCATCCGGTTGATCAGGAACGTTGCAGTCATGACAGCTTCACTCCACAAGAATTTTGGCACATTCATGGCGAACATAAGTGATCGAGCCACTTCTAAAATGTGTCGGTTTTTCCTTTCTGCAACACCATTCTGAGCAGGGGTATCTGGACATGATGTTTGGTGCATTATGCCTTGTGCTGACAGGAAACCTCCAAATTGCTTGTTTACATATTCAGTTCCATTGTCAGATCTGATCACCTGCACCTGCACATTGAATTGGTTTCGCACATAGGCATAAAACTCCTGAAAACATTGGAATACCTCATCTTTATGTCGCATGAGGTACACCCAAGTCATGCGAGTGTGGCAGTCTATAAATGTCACAAAATATTTCATTCCACTAACAGAAACAACAGGACATGTCCACACATCAGAGTGAATCAGCATAAACGGGGATATACTCCTTAGCCCCTTACTCAAATATGAGATTCTTGTGTGCTTTGCATATTCACATGCATCACACACAAGCTTACTCTTGTCTACTCCACGCATTACATCGGGAAACATCTTACTCATCTTATCAAAAGCCATATGCCCCATGCGACAGTGATGGATCATCGCCATTGTCTCACTTACTCCAACTAGTACAGCCAAAATAGGACTAGCACCAGACCTAGACACATCACGATCCATATACCACAATCCACTACGCCTGGTTCCTGTCCCAAGTTTCCTTCCAGTCATCCTCTCCTGAATCAAACATATTTTCTTATCAAGAGTTATTCGGCAATCTATCTGATCAATCAAAGCACTTAGAGAAAGCAAGTTCACAGGAAAAGCTGGAACATGTAATACATCAGATAATTTAATAGTGGGTGTACATTGAACTGATCCAACTCCTTTAATCGGTTGTGAGGTGCCATCAGCAGTTTGTATTGTTTCACAATGTGTAATTGGGTACTGAGTATATGATTCAAACTCAGTTGAGGTACCCGCAACATGCTTGGATGCTCCAGAATCTAATATCCAATCTGGAAGGAAATCATGTGTGGATATAGATGCATTTGCAAAGTTACCTTCCCCTGTGTAGACAAAGTGGGCAAAGTTCCCGAAGGTGTTGTCCTCCTGGCTTCTACTCTTCGACTCCCCTTGAGAGGTTGTTGACGTCCCTTCTTCTTGCGTTGCCAAGTTAGCCAAGTTTGCTTTGAAGCCACTGGAATAATTCGAACCCCTCGAGTTACCTCTGCCTCTAACTCCCCGGTATCCACCTCGGCTGTAACCTCTTCCCCTACCACGTATTTCTCTGTGTTATGCTGTGCAATTGATGCTTATGTGACCTTTCTCTCCACAGTTGAAGCACTCTCTTGTCTCCTTCCATTCAGACACAGTAAATGCTGAGCGAGATGCATTCGCTTCTCCAGTCCTGGTCAACTTCAACCTGACCTCCTCCTGTGCCATTGTTGCAACTGCCTCCTCAAGCGAGGGAGCTTTGGCTGATGAAACAACCCAGCACGCCTTCCTTCAAATTCTGAGCTAAGTCCCTTCAAGAATTTCATCACTCTCCTACACTCTACCCACTTCTTAGTAGCAACTATACATTCTGAATGTGGTAACTCCAGTGGATCATAGTGGTCTAAGTCAGCCCACAAATGCTGCAATTCTGCTACATACTCCATCACCGACTTATCCCCTTGTTTTAGCTCATTTACTCTATCCTCAATCTGCGCCATAAGCATTATGTTCCCTTTCCCGGAGTACAATGTTTCCAGGGTTTTCCATACCTCTGCTGCATGGGGAAGAGTCTCCACGGCTGCTGCAATGGATGGGGTCAAGGAGTTCAGCAGCCATGCCACCACCAGAGAGTCAATGACACTCCACTTCTTCCACTCTTCACTTGCCCTGTTTGCCGGTTCATCTACTTCCCCTCTGACATAGCCTTCCAGCCCCTTTGTCCTCAATATTAGCAATGCCCTTCTAGACCAGCTTAGGTAGTTTGTGACCCCTTCCATCTTGATTTCATTTGGCATCAGTTCTATTTTCTGTATCACCTCAGGCTGAGGAATAAGCACACCTGGGGAAGCCACACCCTCTGCCTTGACAGTGATGAGCTCAGCTAGCTTCTCCAACGCCTTTACCAACCCCTGGTTATCCCCCATCTTTCCAATCTTGAATCACACCACTAGCAACCTCCAGCAACCACTGCTCCCCACTTTCACCTCTCTACTACCTCCTCCCCTCAGATCTGGGATTCCACCTCTCCTTCTTCCACACAAGCCTTCTCCTCTCAGACAATCGCCAGCAAGCACAACCAGCCAACCACCATCACCACTGCTGGGATTGGGAACCCAAGCTCTGACACCATGTAGAATCAGGGGAGAGAGGGGTGGCGGCTGGGATAGAAAGATGGCCTGGTATTGTATTCTATTGGAGTTAGGGTTTCCCGTACAAGGGGGCAACACATATATAGGCTGCAGGGTTACATGGGCCACATGGGCCACATGGGCCATAAGCGCGCACACACACACACACACTGAAATACAGATAAGACACAGCCCAACATTTTTTCTAAAAGCTAAGTAGAAAATGTTGTAAATTTGAAGTCCCAGTAGAAGAATTCAATGTGCGTGTGAATGCTACTACAAAATAATAACTGTAGAAGTGACTACGACAGATTTAAAGGGTAAAGATGCATGGTATAATTATCTATGTTACAGTATTCCACTTTGAAAAATATCTCCAACGACATTATTCCATTTTAACTTTTCAAGTGTATGCTATGCTTAAGCTTTGTTATATCAGATTTAACAGCAATAAAATAATTGCACTGATGGCATAGCCTATTTCAATCAGAACATGGTATTGTTCTTTTGTATTTTGAACTTTAAACACTGAAAGCCCAAAATCATCAGATAAAAACAAATCAAGACGTCGGAAACATAAATATAAAAAATTCAAGATGCAAAGTCAAATTCCTACAATGCATCGCAAAGTTGTTGTCGATTCAAGCCAACAAATCATAAACAATGGACCTAAAGTTAACAGCATAATTACCGAGGCATAATTCCCAATGGTCTTAACACCTCCAGTTCCACCAGGGGTGGCCCGATGAAACTTGTCTTCAACTATCAAATTTATTGGCGCTAATCCTTCCTGTAGACATCACTGAAAAAATTGAATGGGCACTGAAAAAACTAAACGGGAACAATCATACATAAATGAGTTGGAATTCCACATCTGATTCATGATTAGTGTATCATCAATCAAAAAGGCAAAAACAGTACTACAAATAAATGAAATTATAGTCGCTACATAATTTCTAGTCCGAAATATGTTGCCATGCAAAGTGGAAAGTACAACAATGTATATAGCCCAATTGTTATTTTTATTTGGGGAAAAGTATCTCATGAAAGTAGTGGACAAAGAAGTTCAAACTTTTGATACAAACCTTGAAGTAGTTCCCAACAGGGGAGGCAAAAATAAGGAATGTGTACTCAGGAGCAGGTGCTAGACCAAGAACAGCCCCACTTCCCACAAGTAGTGGCCTAATGTACAAAGAACCTTTACCGGTAGGAGGCACCTGGATGCATAAGATATTTGGTAAATGATCAAATCGCGCACATAAACAATGACATGGCACTATGGAAATGACCCAACATTTTAGATAGACGACTGACCCATCTCTTGTTTGCTAAAACGGTTTGTTTTACTGCATCCACAAATTGCTCAACAGGAGGTGCAGGCATGCACATCCTCTCGGCACCAGTTTGCATCCTCATTGCATTTTCCATTGGGCGAAACAACAGGATGGAGCCATCAGTTTTTCTATACGCCTTTAGGCCTTCGAACAATCCCTACAAATCATAACCAATACAATTTCACAACAAGAAGATTTTGGCCTTCAAAACATTACTACAGTCTGCCAGAGACACGAATCAAGGAGTTTCTACCTCCAATACAAACCTGTCCATAATTCAGGACTCCGGATGCTGGGTTCATTTCTATCGGCCCAAACGGCACCATCCCACCCTTGTCAAAGTTCCCATCTGGCCCGCATTTTGTAGTATACATATAGTCAGTTTGCACGAGTCCAAAACCAAGGTTCTCCCAATCCAAATCAGCAAACTCCGATGTCTGCCTGCCAAGCCAAGGGATTCCCATCAGAACTATTTTGACACGACCAACACATTGCCGTGGACAATCTAGCAGACTAGCACAAGAAAATGTGTGCGCTGCATGGCGTGGTACAGTCTAACAAGACATGCGATGCAGTTCATAGTGGAAATCACATACGTGTAGTTACTTGCTAGAGAAGCCTCGCGTCTTCCCATGCATCGGGCCTTTCGAAGCGGAAGCAGTGACATCGAATAAAGTCGATTCCGAATCTGCATCAACGACAATAAAGTACCGCACATTAGATTATTCAATACACATCAACACAAGAAACAACGACGGTTCCTTGCATTTTCCAATGTTCAACTTTCAGAAATCCTTCCAAAGAAAAAAAAGGTTTTTAATCCCAGCTTTTCCCATCTAATCGCACATGAGCACATGCTGATTAGCTCCGCTCTCTACGAATCTACAACAGAAAGCCGTATCGACCCGTGCAGAAGAACGCCAGCGAGATCTGAACAAGGACCTGAATAGACGGCGTCGACGGCGGCGGCGAGAGGGGCAGCAGCCGGGGCCGCCGGCCGGCGAGCGGCGCGGCGGCGAGCAGGGCGCCATGCGAGGCTGTGCCGCAATCCATGTTGTGTGAGGCTCGCTAATGGAGCTCACGCTCGCTCGCGGCGGTCTAGGGTTTCGCGGCGGCGGCGACGGCGGACGGGCGGGGATAGGTTTGTAGAGGAGGAACCAAGGGAGACGACGACGACTGCCAGATCGGACGGGGTGGTGGCTCGTTGCGCGCACGCAGACCTCCGTGTGATCCATGCCACAGAAGCAGACATTTGGGTCCCACCGCCATTTTGTCCACATGTCAGTGACTCCGTTCTTTGCTGTCTTCTCGTGCTCAGCTAGATAACTAAAACAGGTGTGCCACGTATTGCGGCAGTTGGAAAAGTTTTATCCACATGCTTCTCTAGCCGAGCAACTACACTACACCAGGCGCTGACGGATCTAGTGGGGTGCCCTAGACCGGGAAAGTATCTAGTGCTTCCAGGCCTAGGGTGCTCCCGGTGCTCCGATGCGAAAAATATTTTTTTAATATTCAAAAAATTCAGGAAAAAATGCAGCACATTGACGGAACATCGAAGTCTCTTGTCACAAAATTTCAAATCAAAATTCGAAACATTACTTAAGATACAAAAATGATAAATTTAACATCAATGTTATAATGGGTCAAAACTAAAGCCCAACTTATGTTATGTACAAAATTTTGTCATTTTTGTATCTCGAGCAATGTTTCGAATTTTGATTTAAAATTTTGTGACAAGAGACATCGATGTTCCGTCGATGTGCTGCATTTTTTTCAGAATTTTTTGAACATTTTAAAAATGTTTTTCGGACATTTGGAGCACCGGGAGCACCCCAAGCCTGGGAGCACTAGATACTTTCCCGCCCTAGACCTCATCTCCTCAAAGTTGTATTCCCTCCGTTCCAAATTACTCATTGCTGAAATGAATGTATCTAGATACATCTATACGTGTGACAATTAATTCGGAACGAAGGGAGTAAAATACTAGTACTTCTCAGACTAGCCACTGGGTGCTACTCTCATAATATAGGATGTTTTTCGACACTAGTTTAGTGTAAAAAAAGTCTTACATTAGACTAGTCATAATGATGAGTAACATACACTAGTAACATACACATATCTCTAGACTATATTACTACCTTCATAGTGGATAATAATATAAGTGTGGTAACATACAAAGCTTCATTTATTAGGTTATAGACTCATATTGCATTGGGACATGTGATGTTACAGTAACTAGCTAAGTTACTATAACTACCTCTCTCATCATTAACTCATTGTCACATAAGCAAATTTGCTAAGTTGAACTATTACTCCCACTGTGGCTAGTCTTATGTGACGGAGGGAGTAAAATTTACCAATAAACCTACACGCACGGACAATTACGAAACTTTTACTTATATTAGCCTTTTCAACTAACTAACCTCTTCCCTCCTAGTTTTCAGTCGGGTGGGGCCGCCTCATCCCCAACTTCCAATAAGTCCCCATGTTAGCCAGTCTGTTGATCCCGTGAAAAAATTCCCTATGAACTTAGCATTGTTCAAATTTACTATATACTTAACAATAAATATTTATTTAATTGTTGCTATTTTCAGACTATTTGTTGAGATTATGATGATGTTTAGTGTAAACCTTGAACTGTGGCACTCCAAGTATGTTATTCTAGATCTGCCACTGCACTCGGGCTCCTCAAACATGAAAGTGCGTTACGTTAACTAGATGGGGAGTGAATAGGCGAATTTTATGAATTCTTCACTGAGGAATTTCAGGGTGAGGAAATTCCTAAGCGAAGAACTACTTGCAGCGGAATAAGTACTAAGGTATAAGCATAACAGAGCAACGGCATAGTCATCATGATGAAATGAAAGACAATCACAGAGTACAAGAAGCGTAAACACAGGATAACAGGATGAAGACAAAGTGACTGAAGAAATATGATTGAGAAAATTGAGAAAGTCTTCAGTCAAAGTCTTCAAACAGGAATGATCGGGTAAAACAACACATAACCGAGGAAATGGAATGGTTGACAAAATAGAACCAGTAGGCTTGGTGAAGACAATGATTTGGTAGACCAGTTACAACTATTGTGACAGTTGTACGTCTGGTTGCAGCGGTTGAGTATTTAAACTCGAGGACACACAGTCCTCACCATATTCTCCTTGAGCTAAGATCACGCAAATCTCGCCCAATAGTAGTGGTAAGCCTTCAGAGTTGACTTCCAAACCTTCACAGACTTGGTCACTCGGCAATTCACAATTCCTCTTGGATACTCAGACCATGACGCCTAACCGTCTGAAGGATACACAGTTGTAAGGGCATATTTATTCCCTAGTGGTTTTGATGATTGATGACAATGCTTTTGCGGTCTAATCGTGTGCGTTAAGTTCTTTCAGAGAATCATCCATTGGCACGAGACGATTTCCTCCTCTCGGTGTTTTTATTCAAGACGGTGTAGCTCCTGCGTTTCGTGTTGGTGGACTAGTCTCGTAGGAGTCACCGTACTATTAAGAGGGGATCCGTTTTGGTAAGACTTGGGTGGAATCAACACGTACACATCCTTATCACACCCGTCGTCTTCCTATCGCTTCTTTGGAGCTGCACTTCTCTTCCGTACCTGCTTCGCCCTGTGCCAGCGGTAGTACCGCGATCTACAGCTGTAGTACCGCCGAAGGCCCCCTAGCGGTAGTACCGCCCGCGGGTTTCGGCTATAGTACCACTGTAGTACCGCACCTACTACCGCCTCGATTTGAGACGATATTTTCTCGTGTCGAGTTTTGCGGCACTAGAAGCGGCAGTAGAAGCGGTAGTACCGCTCCTCTCCCACGGTAGTACCGCTATGGGGCCAGTGGCCTGACTCCCTCCTCAGCGCGGTAGTACCGCTAGGAAGGGAGCGGTAGTACCGCTCTCAGCGGTAGTACCGCCCTTCCCTAGCGGTAGTACTGCCCTGTGCGGGGCTGCTCAGTGGGGTAACGGTTGGATGTGTTCCCCCACTATTTAAAGGGGTCTTCTTCCTCCTAGTTGACCCACCTCTTTCCCCCAAAGCTCCATTGTTGCTCAAAGCTCCATTTTCGCCCGATCTCCCTAGCCAATCAAACTTGTTGATTTGCTCGGGATTGGTTGAGAAGGCCCAGATCTACACTTCCACCAAGAGAAATTTGATTCCCCCCACTTATCCCTTGCGGATCATGTTACTCTTGGGTGTTGAGCACCCTAGACGGTTGAGGTCACCTCGAAGCCATACTCCATTGTGGTGAAGCTTCGTGGTGTTGTTGTTGTTGTTGGGAGCCTCCGGTTGTTGTGGAGTTTGCCCCAACCTTGCTTGTAAAGGTTCGGTCGCCGCCTTCAAGGGCACCAATAGTGGAATCACGGCATCTCGCATTGTGTGAGGGCGTGAGGAGAACACGGTGGCCCTAGTGGCTTCTTGGGGAGCATTGTGCCTCCACACCGCTCCAACGGAGACGTACTTCCCTTTAAAAGGAAGGAACTTCGGTAACACATCCTCGTCTCCACCGGCTCCACTCTTGGTTATCTCGTGCCTTTACTTTTGCAAGTCTATTTGTTTTACATCCTTTGCTTGCTTGTGTGCTAGTTGTCATTGCATCATATAGGTTGCTCACTTAGTTGCACATCTAGACAACCTATTTTGTTGCAAAGTTTAATTTGACTAAGAAAAGTCCAAAAATTGTTAGTTGCCTATTCACCCCCTCTCTAGTCAACCATATCGATCCTTTCAATTGGTATCAAAGCCTCGTCTCTTTATTAAGGACTTTGTCGTCCGAAGAGTATGGTTGACGTCAACGACGGTGCGGAGGAACACTCCGGTGTGAATCCCATCTCGTCTTCGGCCGAAGGGGGAACCTCGGTCTCTCGTGAGGAATTAAATGTGGCTTTAGACACATTGAAAACCTCCATGACGGCCGAGGTTAAAAGCATGTTTACTGAATTCCTAGAGGGACTCAAACTATCTACCTTGCCGATGAAAGTGGGTGATCCCACTAACAAGGTGACGGATGCTAACCCCGACAATGGGGGAGCTAATAGTGAAAAGAGTCCGTCTACTAGTGGTAGAAATGGCACCGGCATCTTTGCCCATGTGAAACCCCCGGTGTATAAAGGACCGATCCCCTCTACGCATTTGAATCATGCCGGTCCTCCTCCTAAATATGTGAAAAGTGAAGATTTTGATTCTTGGGTCTATCGCTTCAAGCGTCATTTAAAACATGTGAATACTAACCTTTGGAGAATTATTGAAGAAGGTTTCTATCCTCATGATCCAAGCAACTTCACCCCTCGAGAAGAAGTGGACAACCAATTCAATGAGAGTGCTCTCTTCATCATCCAAGATGCTATCCTTCCCGAAGATCTTCCTCATCTTCGACCTCATGTCATGGCTAAAGAAGCATGGAAGTGTGTCGAGCGTATGTATAGAGGAAGTGCTAGCATTCAACGCTCCAACTATGAAGTGGTGCAAGATGAAGCCGATGAGTTTGCAATGAAAGAGGATGAAGAACCTCGTGAGCTCTTTCGAAGAGTGACCAAACTTGCGGTCGCACTCCGATCATGGGAGTAAAGACACGGATGACAATTGGATCAAGCGCAAGTTCCTCAAGGCCATGATGCCCTACAACAAGGCCATGTCCTCCGTCATCCGCCAAAGACCGGACTTCCACTCCATGACCTCTGGTGAAGTGTTGGATGAGTTCATTGCAATGAACATCTTGGATAAGACCGCCGACAATGCGGTGCTCCGTTCCCAAAGGGCAAAGAAGCCCAATCTTGCCTTGAAGGCCAAGGTTAGTGTGGAAGAAGAAGAAGAAGAAGAGGAGAGCAACCCCGAGGACACAAAGTATGATTATCATGAGCACATGGATCTTGCCTCAAGACATTTTTGGAGTAAGAAGACTACAAGACCCAACTTCAACAAGAACAACTCAAGTGGCCTCAAAGGGAAGCAACGAGTTAGAACTTGTTTCAACTGTGGCAATGTCAGTCACTTCGTTGCGGAGTGTCCATACGAGAAGCGGAAAGACAATGGTGGCAAGTTCATTCGAAAA